CAGTGAATGTGATAACTGCAGTAAACACTGCATTTATTTTGTTAGGTTTTATTTGTGGCATCTTAATTTGTTTGAACAGGAATATTAGATGGATGAACGCATACCTTATGAAGCAAAGAGAATAATGAATTAGGTCCATTGGAGTGCAAAAAGCTCTATCAATACTAACTCAATTTAAAGACTCTAAATGGACTAACAACGTTTAAGGATGTAACTGTTTCTTAAGGCCAGACAGAAAGCAGAATCTCCATTACTCCAGCCCAGACACAATACACCTTAACATTAGGGTCATTCAATTTCCCACTCTGCTCTTCAAAGTGGGCCAAGTGATTTGTTTTCAGTGTGTATTTAAGAAGAAGCTTCAATCTCTCCCGGAGAAGTTTAGCATTTAAATTGGTTGATCCAAGCACATTTTACCACAGCTGTTTTTGAAGCATCGTGCTGATGAAAAATCAAAGGTAACGTGCAAATGCATGACCTTTCCCGGGCTGAATAGCAGACAGTGTGTGAAGAGCTTGTTTTTGCTGACATTCTTCTTTCTTTTATACTGTTTTGTAAAACTTTGATACTTGGTGAGACGAAACATCACAAATTATTTTTAGACAATAATAAAACCTCACCACAGGTCTATAGGTGAAAAAAAAAAGAAGAGAGATCTAGAGGAAAGTTTCCTCCAGTACTATTTTACAGACATTTGTAGTGATTGTTTAATTTTGAGTTTTTTTCATGAGGTATTCATAACAAATTATTATTGATATAATATTATGCATGGAACCCTGCTCGTGACATGCAGGAAAATATATTGTGGACGAGAATTAAGAATTCAGCTTAATAAGTGAGGATGTTTTATTAATTAATTATTTTGTTTTGATTAAATCCTGGGTACATTTTAATTATTTGTTTCCTTGTTTTAGGTAAATTGCAGCTGCCTTTTACTAATTCATTCCCTTGTTTTAGGTAGATGTGACCAGTTTGTTCATTGTTCATTAAAGGCCATTACACCAAAAATCAAAGCTATAACAATAACTATCTTGGCATCCACACCAAAGGATTATAATATGTGTTTATTCTAAGCGAGCACTGCAGTTATGTTCTGCACAGTTATTGATTATTGAGCAAAGTTTTAATATCATGCAGAACTGTAAAGAATGACTGATGTGTTATCAAATGCTGAAGAACTCATGGGGAACAGTGGTGAAGTACTTAAATGGATTTTTTTTATTATTTTTTTTTTTTACCATTACACTGGTGAAACAATACAGTTATTGACAACAGTTGGCGAGAAACTAAAATCATGCTGAATTAGCTTGTTGAATACCAATGTTTCCCTAATCATTATTCAACCAGACATGAAATCACAGTGAATTTAGATCATATGGTAACATTGACTGACAGCAACTTGCCTTGGTAAAGCAGAGTAAATTAAGAAGCATACCAGCCGAGAGGGAAATAAAATAAGTAAAAGTACATGGCAGTGCACAAGGGACATGTCAGTGATTGGTTACAGTGTTCAGCAGTTGCAAAAGCTTGTTAGGGTTAACATAAGTGTATAAGTGTATTCTCGATTATTTAGTTGATTTAATTATGCAGTCCTAATATACTGTATGGTTCTTTTTGTTTTACTGTTTGCTGTGCACAACACATACAATGTGTTATTTATCATTCATGTTTGTGTAAATTCTAAATCCATATAATAATAATTAAATCTGAATAAAAATAAATAATATTTTTTTTTATAAAGAATAAGATTTTGCCATTTATTTTGAATGATTATGTATGTTATTTTTTGTTAGTGTTGTAAAACAAGGTGGCAGAAAAAGCTAAATCACTGAACAGATGTTGCACATTGATATCAGCACACTTTTTTCCCCCCCTTTGCCATAACCCTACAAATGTATGTGGACATTTTTTGGCAGTATTGTTTGGAAGAAGGTTAATGATATTTGCTCAGTGCAAGATGCAATATAGTACAGTTGCCATGCGTTCAGATAGATAAAATAAAGAAATACCTTCAGATTATTTAACTTTAAAATGTCATTACATATTGTGAATGGTTTTGGTGATTGTTCTCTTTGAGGAAGAGAATACAAATCGATGATTGCTTTACACTGGCTCTCAGTAGCATCGTGACTTTACTGGGGTCTCGGTGAAGCTTTACATTTGGAAACAGATTGCAGATGTCAGTTTCAGATAGAATGGCTTGAGGGTGATCATGTCACAGGAAACGTCTCTCCTTTTAGTCTAAAGTTCCTGTCTGACAGAAAATTCTGACAAAGTTATGTCACCATGTTACTAACAAATAACTACCATTCAAATCTGAGAGAATTCTACCTATAGAGCATATTCAGATTTTAACAAGTAGAAATCAGACTGAAGGAAAAACACCAAGAGGGACTGAAATCTTTCTCTGTTAGGTTTTAGTCCCAGGGAACACTTTCAGCTCCGCGGCGGTGTGACTTTGATTAAATGCTTGTGCTCTGCTTTACGCTGGACTCTGAATGCCTCCTGAATAGCCTGTCATGCCAGGTAGACAAGTTTCACTATTATGCTAGATTTATAGTCTTATACTGCCAACTCCTCCACAACTCTTACTCTCATCATGGGTGGGCTCTGCCCCACTGCTACATCTCTTCAATACTTCCTATAAAGTGAGCTCAGACTAAAAGCCTGGAAGGCATGGATAACTGTCTTTTTTAGTTTTCTTTGATCACAACCTATATGGTAATTCAGTTTACAGATGCCTCTTGCCATAATGATGCACTCTTTAGGCTGTCTCTGGGGCGGTGCCCATTTTAAAGGTGTACAATTTAGTTGCTAATATGCACACTTTAGGTAATATGTAGCCTTTAGGCACTAATATGCACCCTTTTGGGGGGTAAATAAGGCATGAAGGTAGTATTTTATACTGAAACTGAATAACCAAATCAAACACTTTCCGGTGGTTATCTTTTTTGTTTTGATTGGAGAGCTTGTTTAAATGTTTCTATTAAGTTTGATTTTGAAAATAAGAGGTTTAAGAAATTCTTTCATATTTCACATACAATTTTGGATTGTTTTGGAGGATGTGGCAGTGGCTCATGAAGACTGAACTTAAGGTAAAATACAATTATAGTCCACTGGTAACTGCTGGGTTATTCCATGCTCCGGAGGGTTATTCCAACTGTGACATTTTCTCTCAAGTGATTGGATGTGATACCGACTGGCAAAGTCAATGGAAGGAGAGCTAAGAAGGGATGTCTAAATATAGGGTAGTGCTCGGCGCAAAATAATCAAGAACGGTGTTATAATCTGTTTTAGGAGCGGGAGTAAGTGCAAAAGCTCTTCAAGACAGCAAAAATATTCAGCAAAAATGACATGCTCAAATAATGTGTATTCAATGTTAATGCATCATTTTCATTGCCTTCAAATGTGCCTGTGTTCTTACTATTTAGAAGAAAAAGTTCAGAGTTTGTTTTAAAGATATTTTATGTTCTGTTTTTCAACTATTTGTGTTGAGATTGACTTATATTTTAATAGCTCCTTTCAGGCATGCACAGACTATTATGTGTATTTCACATTCATCTGTTACCGTAACATGCTCATGGTGTCTCAAAGGGTCCTCTGTTTACCACAGAATTCATGAATGCAATTTTCTTTTCATTATTTACAGAAATGCAATACCAAATCCCCTTTTCTGGTACTATTTAGTCTCATTTATCAAATATGACAGTTTATGTTATACTCTTGTCATGGGCAGGGGATGTATTTTTTATTTCTTTTTGATAAATGATAGATGTTGTTGTGAGAACAGCTATTTACGCACAGGGTTTTGAGCTGATTTTGAGACTATAAAACAGTAGAAAACACTAATTGTTTGCATTCTCTGTTAAAAGAAAACAATAGCCTACATAAATTATTTATTTGTCTTACTATTACTGGAAAACATAGTTTGATATGTGGCAACCAAAAAAGATAATGGTTTGTTTTGATCTGTTTTATTTGTTCAAACTAAAGAATATGTTTATGTTTGTCAGTAGGGGTGTCCCCGACTAAGGATTTACATAGTCGAATCGGAATTTTTGAATCTTGCTGATAGTCGACTGATAGTCAAATCATATGTTTGGGGGCGGGGGGCAAAATACATTACCAAGAGACAGTCATAATTACTGACGTTAACACACAGGGGAAATGTGTAACGGACTCTTCGCAGATATATTGTTTTATATTTTGATTAAAAGAGTTAACATTAAACGTCAGCGAAACCCTAAGAATTCACAACATTTTTCACAATAGTGCTCTCATTATAATGTTATGTATAGGTAGTTAATAATGTTCTGCATTTCTGTTTTGAGCTGCGCGCTCTGAAGATGACCAGTAGAATGAAGCATCAGGTTTTTAATCAATGGGATTTCATTTATCTCGTATTGAATACACTTCGTTATTTATACAACATAATGTTATATTACGACTTGTAGGCTATCTGCACAAAATGCCTCGAATGCACAAGTGAACGTGTCTGTGCGGCTCTGAATGAAATCCTTTTCTTCACGCAACAACGTGCAGAAACACGGCAACGTTTTATTATAATAGTGTTCTCTTTATAATGTTATGTATATGAAAGTCCCAGTCATAGTTAATAATACTGCATTGTTGTTTGTCCTGCTCGCTTGTACCCTACCTGATCAAAAAAATCCAGTCTTTCACTCTGCCTGTGTCAGTATGAGTCTTGTTAAAGTTTTAAATCCTTGCGCCAAGATGCTTCTCTGTTGGTCACGGATTATGGCAAGTAAAACTTAAATCTATAGGGGTGGTTGGATTGCACGCACATTAAAATATTTATTTAAAGCTTCTTTCTTTTCAGATTCTTATTTACAGCATTATCATAATAGGCTGCTTATTATGATATTAACTTTAAGGGAGAAAACCGGTAGTTCTATGTGAAATCATACATTTGAGCACCCCTATATAGCCAAAATGGCATGATCATAACACCTCAGCGAATATTCGACTGTGAGATTTGTAATCGAATCAGGCTCCTCCAATCGAAGCATTGAATCTCCGACTATTCGGGGTCACCCCTATTTGTCAGCATGCATTTGTATCAGTGCAGGTTCATGGAATATTTTCATGTTTATGCCTTCCTTAGCTCTTCGTCATGAGAGAGGAAAATGTAGATGACCCCCTCAGCAGTGTTTTATGCAGACATTAGCAGTAGCATTAACAGTAAAATGGGATGTCATTTCAGTTGCTCCATCCAATATTAATCAAAATGGCCCACTAAAGCATCTTGTTAAATCATAGTAAAACAACTTGACTTTGAGAAATTTCGTGCCAGCTGTATCTGTCTTTCCCAGATTGCAAATGAATACTTTTATGAAAAAAGAATAGAAACATAAAAAAATTTCCTTTCTTAGCTGCATCATTTTTTTTTTGCAGGATGTGCCAGAGGAAGTCAACTTAAAGGTAAACATAAACTTGCAAAGGACAGAAATGCACATTCAAGAGAAATCTGTGTACAGCATGTGTACGTCCAATCAAGAGAGAGAATTGTATTTTATTGCTCAGGGAGTTTGATTAAAGGAAGCTGATTGCCTCAGATCTGGATGGAAAGCCTGCTGAATGTCTTAACATTCTGCTCATGCTGTGTGTAATCATTTGTTAGTATGTGGAGTCTAGCGGCGCTCAGATTGAATCAGAGCGGCGCCTCCTTATCTAGATTGAAGGAAATAATTTGTTACAATTTTCCATTAAGTCGCATTCAAAAAGGCATGAGTTACCTTAAGGGCACATTTAAGGCAAATTGTGCCGCCACAGAAGTTCACTGTCTCTTAAGATTGCTGGCTATTTCATTTCCAACCTCTGTCTCACGCCATTTGATGTATTTGCGAATGCAAACAACATGAAAGTTTAATGGTGTTCGCCGTGTCTGGGCTTGACACAACATCACCGTCTTTGCACCCGGTGACCTCTTTGTGTCAGGCGCACAGAGTGGAGTGTGTACCGTGTTTCCTCTCCAACACTTTGTCTAATGCACCATGTCACCGAGGCCTATTTTAACCCTGTCATGAATGTGGCAAGACACCTGTCATAATGATTCCTGTTCTTTCCTCACTTCAGCCTCTGTCCGTTTAGAATTAGTTGGTGTTTCATAGTTGACTGGTGATTCTGTGGCATATATGAACTTTTGTTTTTAGTTTTATTTCTTTAGGTTTATTGTTGTTATCAGAGAATGAATGATCATGCTTTATATCAGAGTCAGTATTACTGCATGCACGACGACCAAGGCTAAATTCTGATTTAATGTAAATTGAAATAGTAAATGTGCATGATTTAAAACATCGCCTTGTTGCAATAATAAACTGCAGTGAATTAAACAATGAACATAGACGCAAATTCAACCCTGAGTATAATTGATGTGACATGGGCACCAGCAGTCATACTGCACGTGTTTTGTTACAGTAGTTTGTGCACACATGCACGTTCTCAGTCGCACTCACTGACTTCAGAGTCACTTGTCACAATGCTAGTCTGTGACAGGCCCATTTTAAGAGCTCGCCAGAGATGTATGTTCACCATAATAACAGCAATAACAGTTTATCCTGCAGTAACTGTACTGAGTTACTTCTCGCAAATGCTTAGTTATTAGTTATTTGTGTTACTTAACCTGAACAAAACTTAAAATAATGTAGTAAAATAGGTGACTCTAATGAGTATTTACTTGAGTAGTTTTAGTACTCACAATGTCTTGTTTTTAGACACATCCTTGATGTGTGTGATGCTGAAATCTCACAGTGTGTTGCTGTGTAACATTTTACCTCTTTGACACTGACAACAGAACTGTTTAAATGAATAGTCCCATAAATGTTGACATTTGAGAAAATAAATTGCCAAATTGCTGTCTGTACAGCATGGTGTATTTTTCTAAAGCATATGGCTTCCTGCTTGTAAAAAAATAATAAAAGAAACAGAATGTCCTAATTAGTGCATTCCTATTAATTGAAGACAAAAAAGGAAGAAAAAAAGGACACTATCTGATCATGGTTGCTATTCCCTTGCCATTAACCTGCGTTTTGTATCAGGATAGTATTTTGATATTCTTTAGCTGAATTGCATTTGCACTTTGCATTCTCCAGTGTGACTGTATAGAGATCCGATCACTGTCATCTGCACAAAACGGAAAACGCCACTTACATTGCAACTGAGGGTGTGTTCATCAAACATTTTCCATTATTTATTGAATTTGAAAAACATTGATGGATAATTCCAAATGCTTTCCGTCATTTTGACAGATAAAAATAATATGTATGGTCTACTGCGTTTCCCTACAAATATTTGTAAGGGTGTCATTTCCTACGATTATTCCTAATCTTCCAAAGAAAAGGGAAGAAAATAAAGTTTTAAAAGGCCCCGTGAAAACAGCCTGGGAGAGACACGTGAGTGAGGATCTGGGGAGAAAAACGAGAGAGAGAATAGAAAAAGAACCTGCACGATCTATCCCCAAGTACAGAGCACTTGGTAAGACTAAAGAAGCTCTTTTTACAGAAGCTTTTGCGATATAAATGTCACATTAAAAATGCCAAGAGTTACAATATTTTATTTATGGATAAAGTAGAGCATGATGGAAAATTTACAACCAAGTCTGACAAAGTGATGCATAATGATCATTTGTAACGCAGCATCTGTATCACTGTATAGTTGATAATGAAAACACGTTAGTGTTCACACCTCATTGAATGTGCTCAGAATGTCCTTGCATCGGATCACACTCTATTTTTTAATAAAAATAATTTTATCATGATCAGGTACTATCTGATTGTGATCTGATCATCAATGTCCATAGTTAATGTGATGATATTTGTTATGTTTTTATCAAGGCTAATAAATTATAAATTTTAAAGGCTTGAGTGTCCTAATATTTTTGAAGCCACTGTATATTATAACATTCAGTATGATACATAAAAACCTATGTGGAAAAAATAAATCTGGCTTGTCATTTTGTGACTGATGTATTTGAAATGTTAATAATAGGTTATAAAGTATGATTTGATCTTTGCCAGTACCATTTTGACATTTAAATGATTGAACTTAAAAGAAGAGAAAAAAAGAGACAAAAGGCAAAGCTCATAACAAATTATTCCACCACACACACTTTATTCCTCGTGGTGCTTTCGCATGAGAATAATGGCAAATATTGAATTTTTGTGGCTTGCCTGCACAGTACGTCCCTGTCACAGTCTAGTGTGTGACAGCATATGTTTGGACACCCGTAGTCAGATGGAAACAGACCTGTCA